AGCTATGGACATATGGGAAGAGTGCCTTCATCGGAATATCACTCTCCAAGCTGCCCATCTGCCAGGAACTTTGAACCAGCAAGCAGATTTCCTGAGCAGAGGAGGAGCATCGGACCACGATTGGGAGCTGAATTCAAAGTATCTCCTCCCTCTTTTTCAACGTCTGGGACATCCCCACATCGATGTTTTTGCAACTCGATTCAACAAGAAGTGTCCCATGTTTTGTTCCAGAGCGGGGTTGGACCCTCTGTCACTGGGGGACGGCCTGTTGATATCGTGGGCTCACAACTTTCTGTACCTATTTCCTCCGATTCCGCTGCTTCACAGGGTGTTGGTGAAAATACAACACGACAAGCCCCATTGTCTTCTAGTAGCCCCCTGGTGGCCTCGGCAAGTTTGGTTCCCGACACTGTTGAGGTTAGCCAAGGGATCCTTTGTACACCTGCCGCAGGAGTTGGATCTCCTCCAGGCTCAGGAGGGCCAGGTCCTTCACTACGATCCTCTGAGTCTCAAGCTGACTCTGTGGGAAATACGCTTTCAGTGATGGACGCTCGTATCAATGATGTCTTGTTGAACTGTCGTAAACTGTCTACTCGGACTTCCTACACAAGGAAGTGGAATCTATTCCTGCAGTATTTGAATTCCTCAAATCTACCTCCTCCGCCAGTGGATTTGAGGTCTATTTTTGCATTTATTTTGTCCAGAATGGACTTGGGTCTCAGTTTTTCGTCGGTTAAAGTGTATTTAGCTGCGGTGTCAGCTTTTCATCCATCTGTTGATGGGTTTTCAGTTTTCTCGCATCCTCAGACAAAACAGTTTTGTAAAGGCCTTATTCGCCTGTACCCTCCCCGTCGTCCTCCAACCCCGGCCTGGGATTTGGCTTTAGTTTTGCGTTTTTTGATGGGAAAACCTTTCGAGCCATTGGCCACTTGCTCTCTAAAATTGCTGTCACTCAAGACTGCGTTTTTGGTGGCCATTACCTCTGCTCGTCGGGTCAGCGAATTGTCTGCTCTGAGGTGTGATCCACCATACTTAAGTTTTTCCCCACATGGGGTTTCATTGTCTTTGGACATCTCCTTTTTACCGAAAGTTGTTTCGGAATTTCATTTACGTTCAGATGTAGTTCTGCCATCATTTTTCCCGTCTCCTGCTAATGAAGAGGAACGGAAATTGCATTCTCTGGATGTTAAGAGAGCGTTGTTGTTCTATTTGGGCAGGACTAAGTCTTTTCGCCAGTCTCCAGCTTTGTTTGTTGCTCACAGTATGCCCTCCCAAGGGAAGAAGATCTCTTCCCAGAGGCTGTCGAGATGGATTGTGGAGGTGATCAAGCTATGCTACGCTTTGGCTAAGAAACCTCTTCCAGGTCAGCTTCGCGCCCATTCTACGAGGGCGGTAGCAACTTCCACAGCTTTCCTGCGAGGTATGCCGTTGGAGGACATCTGCAACGCTGCGACTTGGGCTACTCCGCTCACCTTCGTGAAGCATTATGCCCTTGATGTCCGGTCTTCTCGTCGTGTGGCGTTGGGTCGGTCTATATTGCAGACGGCGCAGATGTAGGGCCTCGGCCCCTCCTCCAGGTAAGAGTTATTGCTTGCTATTCTCCCAAGGGTGTGATGCACAGAGACCACGAAGAAGATAGACAGGTTGCTTACCTGTAACTGGTGATCTTCGAGTGGTCATCTGTGCATTCACACCACCCGCCCTCCTTCCCCTCTGCTCTCGGCCCTTCATCTTGTTTCTTTGAAGGCTGTTGGGCGGCGGTCAGAAGGAACTGGCGGGATCTGCGTGCCCCTCCTTGGTCATGCGCAGTGGAGCCGGCGCGTGACCTGGGAGAGGCGCGAAAATCCCTTTTGCTAGCTACCGGTACCGAGAAGGTCAGCGCAGGCGCAGTATATCCCAAGGGTGTGAATGCACAGATGACCACTCAAAGATCACCAGTTACAG